CGTGTTGCTGCTGATCTGTTTCGTGTTGCTGCTGATCTGTTTCAATGATGATGTGTTCGTGCGTGCGCGTCTGCTCGCGGACTCATGTTCATGTTTGTGCTGATGTTCAATGTTTTGTGTTGTGAGTGCTTAGTGTATATTTAGTTGATGTTTTTCTTGGTTCATATCTTAGATGTTATTACTGTTTTTCTTATACATTTTATTGTTGGATGTAACTGGGACCTTGTGTACATAATTTCGCTCCACCACATGTACCACATGAGGTACGAATGACAATAAAGAAACTCTGACTCTGACTCTCTGACTCTGACTGACTCTGACTCTGATTATATTATATTATATTATATTATATTATATTATATTATATTATATTATATTATATTATATTATATTACCGATGTATTATGTTAAATTATATTAACAGGCTTCCGTAGTTTAGGCGATACCATTTTGAGATACGTCTGTTTGGGTTAATCGTGTTCACATAATAACGAGCAAATCTTGAATAAATTGTCTGAATTAAAAAGTGTATTTTGAACATTTTTACAAGATAAAATATTAAAACAAAAATCACCTTTAAACGAATTTACAATTGTTCAAGCCTCACCCCCTAAAAAATATGGTACAACCCAAGAGGTACCAGGGAAGACCTGTATCAAATCAAGCCCGTGACAGCGGACAAACCAGAGTTTTTTAACAAGTATTCATGTATAGAGGTAGGTTTAATTCAGAAGTCTTCTTTTGACCTAGGTAACCTGGATTGTTTAACACCAGTGCCATGTTTTACCGAGCTGTCAGGGTGAATGTGGGGAACTACTAATGTGACAAGTCGCTAACGATAGCTGAGCCATCGTTAGCTAGCTGCTAGCCGGCTAACCGCTAACGGTTGCCTCCAAAGTGAATGTATTTAAACAGGAAGAAGTAGCATGCTAGCAGTAGGCTAGTTAGCCTTCTAGCTTGTCATCCTATTTTTGGATTGGCATTCCGGTAGCCAGTCACCTTTACTTAGCTACATTAACGGAACGGTAAGGCGTGTTTATCAAGCAACAAAAACCTTTCTTAATGTATAAAATGATTGTGTGTAAGAGTGAATTTGGTACATGAACTGTCAGGATGTTAAAGTTGTCTGACGTTAAATAAACTGGTGGGCCTTTATTCTCTCCTGGTAGTAATATGGGACTTTTTATGAAAGAGAAGTGAAAGCTTACATTATTACTTGCAGAGCTGTCGCTGTTGTAATGCTGCTGCACCTGACTGAGTGTTTTCTTTCATTAGATGGAGAGCTCTGAGTAGATTGTGTAGCTGATCATTTATTTTCATGTAAACATGTTTCAACTAAATATATACACTTTAGTTTTTCTCTAGTGGTGTGATTTGTAGTCTTATCAGTGCAAAATCAATTTGGCTGTAAAGGAGAATAAAAATGTTTTGTTTTATTGTTACAGTATATTTTGTGCTTTAGTTTTTGTTGATGAATTGTTTTATTGGTTATCACCATTTACTTTCTCAACATCCCAAGTCGTCTATTTAGGTTTTGTTTTTATTTATTTCTGTGTTTTTTCTTACACAGTCCTTTGTTGGAACTATACAAGCCAATCTTCATTTTGGTGAATTGATGTTGACAAAATGGATGTTGAGAGAAAAAAATACAGCTATTTATATGTTGCTTTGTTTTGGAAACACAAAAAACTTTGTATATAATAATTATATATTCCTGTCATTTCTTTCTGTAGGCTGAAAGAGAAGCTCTACGATGTCCTTAAAGCCGCGGGTGGTGGATTTTGACGAGACATGGAACAAGTTACTGACCACAATCAAGGCCGTTGTGATGCTCGACTATGTGGAAAGAGCCACGTGGAATGATAGATTCTCGTATCCTGTATTGACTGCTTTAATATCTAAATATTACGGCTACATAAAGAGTAAAGTATGGCCCGTTAGTGTATTGATTTTAGATGTATCTACCAGTAATTGTGAAAATAAGACAATTGAGTTAAAATGCATCATAAAATGAAGATGGTACTTAAGCTGAGGCCAAGTATTACACAAAGTTCTTTTTCAATTAATTTTTGTATACCTTTTTATGTTTATTTATTGCGTTTCTCCTTAACCTTGACGCCAGTGACATTTATGCTTTGTGTGTTGCATACCCTGAGCCTTTGGGTGAAAGGTTATACACAGAGACCAAAATATTTCTTGAGAATCATGTCAGACAGTTGTACAAGGCAAGTTCTTACTAAAAACAATATTTTCTTTCATCCCTGTGTAGTACTGCTGTTCGTAACACTGGTCATACTTGTTTTTGTATTCCAGAAAGTTCTTGAGTCTGAGGAGAAGGTTTTAGTGATGTACCACATGTACTGGGAAGAGTACAGCAAAGGAGCCGACTATATGGACTGCTTGTACAGGTAACACCAAGGCTTTTGTGTCATTAATACACTTCTATTGTTCTGTGATTCACAAGGTTCTTTACTATTTTCATTTAGCTTATTCTTGACCTCCTTTACTTATTTAGAACAGCACGAGTGTTGCTGTTACACTATTTTATGCACTTTGGTAAAAAAAAAATATATATTTAAGGGATGAAATGACCTGACGTTGGTGCTTGACTCTGACCAATCTAATTCTGTGCTTGGGCCTTGGTCTAATTATATTATTTCACAAGACACCATTTTCCTCTCCAATTTTCTAGTGTACTCAAAAAAAAAACTTGAAAAGGATTGTTTGAGGTGCCAAAAAGCATTTGACGTGCCCTAATTCACTGTAAATCACCTCACCTTGGAAGCTCTTTTAGATCTATTTTTACACATACTTCCTGTCAGACTGCTGCTGCAGTCATGGGACAAAGAAAATCACCTTAGAAGTTTGTTTAAATATCGGGACATAATAAAAAAATGTTCTGGTCTTCACTGGGTTCTAAAACTATTTAAATCTGGCCTCAAGTGTCACCAGGATAAATTAGCTTTTATAGGACCTTTATGCTGCATCCTTTAGCAGCAATTTTTGAAATAGTAATTTTTCTGTATGTCTTCATGAGTCGTGTCATCATTTATGGTTGTGGAGGAATTTTATCTAGTTCTTCTTTTCATCATTGCTTCAGTTCGTTGGTGTTCACAGACCTCTGCTTCTGCTCAGCTCTCCTCAGGTCCCACCACAGCATTTCAGTCAGGGTGATGTCTTGACTTTGGTTGGACTGTTGCAGCACCTTAATTCTTTTCTTTTTGAACCATTCTGTTGTAGATTAGCTGCTGTGTTTAGAGTCATTGTTCTGTTGCATTATGACCCAGTTCAGTCCTTCAGCTGTCTAACAGATGGCCTCAGGTTTTACTCTAGCATCCTTTGGTCTTCAGAGGAGTTCATGGTCCAGTCCAGTGTGGGACGCAACCCCTGGGGGGCACAAAGCCATTGATTTTGGAGTGGGGAGGGGGTATGACTGAATGGGGAAAAAAAACGATGCCTGGACACTGCTGGTGTAACAGGTTAATAATAATTAATGCTTCAAATTCCATCAAATGGGTCATGATTTGTTAAGCAAATCAGTTAATTTTTTGTATTAATACTTCATAAAAAAGTTAAGTCAGGTCATCTGGACAGATTTGTTTGAGCAGAGCAGTGAATATGTCCTACTGCACCTGAACACAGCCCACGCAGGTCATGTAGCCAGGTACATTCAAAGACAGGGCTAGACGCTGCTTTGGGCTACTGGAGGTAAGATGTGCGATGTCCAGGGTCCTGATATAATACATTTGTCTTGTTTGATTCACGTTTATGAGTTTTATATATGTACTTATCTGGGAATAGGAATTTTTCATTCATTCAACTTTTATTTATACAGTTAGTCTCACTGAGCCTCGAGGACTCTTACAAGAGAGACCTGTTTTAACAAAGAATGATGACAACAGAAGACAATCTTAAAAAAGCATAAAATTGAAAAATAAATGTAAGAAAATTTTATAAACAAACTAAACAAAAACAGCTACATTATAAAGCGATATAAAATATTAACAACTAGGGGTGCGAATCTCTGTGTCTGGTGATCCGATTCGATTCCGATTTTTGGTGTCACGATACGATTTAAAATCGATTTTTCTATTCAGAAACCATTTTTCTATTGAAATGGTCATAAATTTAGTTTCGATTATGTAACTGACAAGCTGAAAAGATTAAACAACAATGTAAACAAATAGAACATTTATTTTAAAATAATTAAAATAAATAAAATAAAAATAAATAATTAAAATTAAATAAACATTTTAGGTTCCTTACTGTATCAAATATTTTTTATTCATTTTTTATTTATACCAAAATAGGAAAAAATATATGAGTGCATAAAATTCTATAACTTAAATTTCCAGTATTAGGTTAGATTAGTTGCCTGAATTTTGCTAAAAAAATAAATAAATCTAGGAACAAATAATTCATCCATCCATCATCTTTACCCACTTCTTCCTTTTCGAGTCACGGGTGTCACTGGTGCCCATATCAGCCATCACTGTGTGAGAGGCGGGGAACACCTGGACAGGTCTCCAGTCCATCACAGACAAATAATTCAAAATATATAAATACAAAAGTAAACAGACTTTAGCCTACCATACATAGTATATTAACTTTTAACTCAAAGTAAAATACAGACTTCAGTTATTTTTAACCATATTGCTTTAACATTTGCTATATTTTCAAAACTTAACCTAATATGAAATATACAGACTTCAGTCTTAACCATATTGATTCATATTTAGTAAATCTTTAACAAAATTTCAAAACCTGTGAAAACCTGTACAAAATCTCTTCTGAACTATAATTTATAAACCATAAACTGTATCATTTAGAACTGGCTCCAGGAGATGTCTCATCTGGTCTCTTCAACCTGTTAAAATGACAAATTGCATAAAGTTTGTTAACTTGTCTATAAGTTTTAGTATAATATGAGAAAAAAACGTTACCTTTGAGCTGCAGCTGCATCAGAGCTTCTCCCATTCGTTGTTTCATGGTGAAGTTGTGGCGCTGCTTTATCGCAAAAAATATATCTACATGAAGGAATAACGTACATTGAATCCAGCGTATTAAAAATAAACATGAACCTCTCACCTTCCACTGAGCTGTCTGCTCGTAAATCCTTTGTGATATAGCAGGAGATGGAGAGGGAAATCTTCACAGCCTTTGGAGAAGCCTGGAAGTTTGTTGCAGAGTTCGCTGGTCGGCTGCTTCGCTTTCATCTTCCGTGAATTTTGTCTTATATCTGTTACGACTGCCCCCCCACCGCCGAAATGCAATAAGCAGCCAATATAAAATAATTTAGCAAACTTTATTATCACGTAAATAAGGTGTGCATCTTCAGGAAGTGACCCAAAAAAATAAATAAATAAATAAATGGGAAAAAAATTGTTAGCCCGCCCTCACAAACACTAAAACAAGAAAAATAATCCACAACTGGGTGGACTAACAAGAAAAAAGTAAATCAAATTCAAAAGAGACAGCAGGAGCAGTGATATAACTGTAAAAACAAATACACAAAATTTACTAAATACTTATTAAATCATTTTAATTAAGTCAATCTAAAAACACATTAAAAACATTGCATACCTGCTTCAGATAAACTCATGTTCTCCGGTTTATCACACCAACTCTAAAGTCACCATTGATGTGGTAAATCTGATGCAGCCCTGCGGCGTCGAGTAGCCACACGCCCAGGTAACACAACCCAAAAAACGTCATCAATAGCGGCGCCCTGTATAAAACACCACATCAGCGCCACCTTATTTAAAAATCAGTTCAAACAGTTTTCCTCCAAAACTTACCAGCCTGCAAACAGTGGCGCATGTGGGCCCAGCACACACCTGGTCACACAGGAAATTGACACGTGCCACCACCCTGCCAGCTTTCCTTTTATGGAAGCTCAAGCTGTGGAGGGAGCGACACCTGGTTGTTCCACGTGTTACATTCCCAAAATACTGTACCGTAATTTTATTTTACACTTCTTGTAAACAACCGTGCTCTTGTGAAGCTCTGTCTTCCCCTGGAACATTGTAGGATCTGAAATGATTTTTAAAGACGAAGAGGCGGGTTGAATCGCGCTGTCTCCCTCCTCCATGCTAGCAGGCTCCATTCAGATAATGGGAGCTGGCTAACTAGCTTGCTGTATGGTGGCCTACACGGCTCAATTCTACGGCGGCCAAACGGGGAGTAGGAGCGAAAAAAATATAAAACTTAAATACATTTTAAAATTGATTTTTGGACCTTTAGAAACAATTCAGAATTGCCAGGACTAAAAATCTAGATTCTTTGAAAAATCGATTTTTTTCTGCACCCCTACTAACAACGGGAGCATGTCTGCGTTGGTTTTTGCCATGAACTTAGCAGATGTTTCAAGCCACTTAGAGAGGTCAAGGTTGACAGATCTTTTTTCAAGATATTCCAGGACACAGGGGTGGGGTAGGAGAAGGCCCTTTTGCCTAGTTCAGTCCTCACTGAGGGAACACTGCATGTAATGATGTCCTGAGAGCGCACGCTGTAGCTGCACTCATGCAGTGACATGTAGGAAGATATATATGAAGAAAGCAGACCAAGAAGTGATTTAAAGATGAAAATGTACTAGTGAGAGAGTGTGTAAAGTTAATGATGTCCACTTAACCTGTACAGGGTGCAATGGTGGATACAGTAGTTACAGCCAGTTATGAATCTTAGCGCACCGTGATAGGCAGTGTCCAACATCTATAATGTGCTTGTAGGAGCATTCGTGTAAATAATGTCACCGTAATCAGTGGAGGAAAGGAAAATCACAGTTACAAAGCGTTTCCTAGATGCAAGTTGACCAAGATACCCAAATATTTGTAAGAATCTACAAACTCTAAAGGAGCACCATTCAGAGATAAAATAGAAGGAAGGATTGTAGGAAGTGACTTCCTGTTTGAAAACAACATCCCTGTGGTTTTGTCAGTGTTTAGAACAAGTTTGAGATGGAACAAATCAGTCTGGATGATGTCAAATGTAGACTGTAAAAGCTGGAAAACCTTAGCAACTGTTTTAGCTTGACAATAACCAACTGTGTCATCAGCATAGAAATGTATGGATGCATCAGGGATGATCGGACCTACATTACTTTTGTAGTTTGTAAAGAGGGTGTGTTGACTATTTGTCCATAAAAACCAAAAACAAACGAAAAAAAAATGAAGATCTAACTGAATGTGAATGTTACTCAAATAATCCCATGTTGCTCCGTGGGTTTGTGTTTAACGCAGTACAAAGGAAAGGTCCAAAAAAATCTAGTTTATGGTATGTTTATTCCAACTTGATAGCCAAACAATTTGATACACAGGAGCCCTCGCTGACACACCTGTTCCTGCATGACTGCTCCCCCTGTTGCCCCACCTCTGACTGGCAAAAAATCATGTGACCACCCACATGCCTCTCAACCTCCCTACAGCCTACATATTTATGCCTCTAATACCCACATCCCAAATAAAAATAAATATATAAACCAAATTCAAAGACGACAAAAATAGACAAAAAGCTCCTACACTAAGATTGAACCTTGTGGTACACCATTGTTAACAGTTAGATAGTTGGAAGAAGTATCATTATGTTGAACACGTTGCCTCTGATCTGAAAGATAGAGAATCAACCAATGGTGTGATCTGAGAAACTGATTTCTGAGAGCTTATGACACGAGATGTCAAAAGCTTTAGACAGGTCTAAGAAAAGTGCAGCACAATAATCCTTAGCTTCAACAAGATCATTAAATACCTTCATTGAAGCAGTCGTTGTGCTGTGTTGTTTCCTGAAACCAGATTGATGGAGAGGTAAGCTGTTAAAAGAATCCAAATAATTCTTAATTTTAGAGTTTATCAGTTTTTCTAGGACCTTAGCTCAAATACAAAGTTTAGAGATTGGTCGATAATTGTCCAATATGGTGGGGTCTCCTCCCTTCAGCAAAGGAAGAACAAAAGCTGTTTTCCAAGTGTTTGGAACAGAGTTTTGGCTTATAGACAGGTTAAATATGTGGGACACTGGTACGGTGATGATATGAGCGGCCAGCCTTAAGAAATAAGGTAGAAGATCATCTGGTCCTGCAGATTTTTTACAATCTAGACCTTTTAACAAGGAATGTTGTTTCTTTGACCACAGAATGTTATCTGGCCTATTGGAGCCAAAATGTTATATTATTCTGAATAAGAATAAGAGGACTGCACTTTTATAGCAGCAGCTTCGTGCACTCCACCCATCTTTCGGATGACTGTACGTACATGTTCTCGTTGTATCTCGGTGCAATGATAATAAAGTTTATTCTGATTCTGATTGAAAGTATAGTAAGTTAATGCTAGCTTGTGCATCACAGTTATGCTATGCTAGCTTAATTTTGTGCCACGTGTTGCACCTTTTTTAGTTCTATAGATTTTTCTCCATTTTGTATCTTATTTTATTGTAAAGGGAGGTGTCTGGGACCAGGCTGTTTGAAGTCCTGAAAAGAAGTGAGAATTAAAGGAGTCATTTTTGCTCAACAAACCTTTTTTTGCCCTCTCATGGAGTTGTTTTTGTTTTTAATCTCATTTTGCATGGAGAGGCATTTATTGAAAAAGATTCATTGATATTGAATATTGTCACTCAGTAAAAACAAACAAAACAAAACAAACCCAGATACACTTAAAATAAACGTTAATGGTATTTTGTTATTTAAGAGGTTGTAGTTCATATTGCAACCTGCAATTTATTGCAGTTTACTTTTATTAGTTCAATTCTTAAACAAAATAAAAGAAGTTGAGGTGTGAAATAAACTGCAAAGAAGTTTGAAAACAAAATGTGTGGGGGGCAGGGTAAGGGTGAGCCGGGCGCAGAAATGTTCTTATAAATCAAAGGGGGGCCCAGCAGAAACAGTTTTTTGAACCACTGGTCCAGTCAGTGACTGCAAGCGGCCCAAACCATTAGCCTCCACTTCAGTGCTGATTGTAGTGTTTGTGCTGATATACTGTGTTTGAGTGGTAAACATCTGGTCCTGTCTGTCCAGAGGACATGGATTCAGGAGCCTGGTACTTCCTTAAGATGAAACTTTACAAACCTGTCATGCTGCCATGTTCTTTCCAGAGAGAATGGAGTTTTTTCCTGCAGCTGTCAGACCTACACATGGAAGGTTTTATTTTGTCTCTGTAAGTGACACAATGAGAAAGTCTTTGGTCTGAACAAAACAACAGTGCAGGGATTGGTTTGTCTTACAGAAAATAATGTTGTGATCTACTTTCAGGTTTTCCTCATATCAAACACAAAACTCCAGCTGTGTTTTAACAGTTTGTTCTTGTTTAGTGGCATTACACACCAGCTGTCATCTAACTTTTAAAACTTAATGGTGCATTTTTTTATTTTTGCTTGCCAGAGCAAACATTGGTGGCACAGCAGTAAAAACTGCGTGCTGGTTAGGTTGAACTGAACCAGAGCACACAGGTCCGCTTGATGACTGGAAGTTATGCTTGTGAAATACAAGAGTTGCTGAGTCCCATAATGAATTTCAGCATCTGCAAATTAGATACTAGTGACATTACCAAATCCTCCTTAAAGCAGTTTTTGGTATTATGTATTGCAGTTTAAAACCTTTCCTGTTCCTTGAGCATGGACTTTGTTGCTTTCCTGTTAGAGCTACTTTATATTTTAAATCAATATATGCTTATGATTTGTATTTTTAGTGATTTTACTGTTTGGTGTGGTGCAGGTAGCACACACTATCAAATATTTTGTGCTTGAATTGAAACAGCTTGTTAATGCAACAGTGAAACCTCTTCAGAGCTGATTAAACCTTCTGTACTGCTGCTCTCACTCAGTGGACAGATGTGACCACATATTAGATCATGTTCATCTTTTGTTTGTTCTGCTGGCTTTTCCACCATCCCTCTACTTTCCTACACTCATATTTAGACAGCCAATAAATTTCAACACAAAATACAAAAATCATTATTGAGCTACATTTAGATGTTTTTCCACAACATGTTTTGACAATAGAACAATAAATATTTTAACTGGGAATTATTTGACAAAGGGAAAATCTTACACCGTGGATGCCCTTAAAATCCATCCATTATTTTTACCTGCTTCTTCTTTTCCACGTCACTGGTGTCCATATCCAGCAGTCACTGTGCAGGAGGTGGGGGACACCTGGACAGGTCTCCAGTCCATCACAGGGACACATCAAGACAAACAACCATTAGCTCTCACTCACACCTATGGACAATTTAGAGTTACTAATCAGCCTAACATTTTTTCATTCAACCTTTATTTATACAGGTAGTCTCACTGAGTCATGAGGACTCATTTTAAAGAGAGATCTGTTTTAGACAGACAACATACAGAGTACAGACAACAATAAACAGCAATAAAAAGCTATTAAAACAAAAATATTGTTATAAAATCACTGTTACTGTTAGCAGTATGGCCCCGTTTGCAGAACGATTCTGTTAGCAGTGTGGTTCTGTTTGCAGTGTGGTTCTGTTTGCAGTATGGTTCTGTTTGCAGTGTGGTTCTGTTAGCAGCATGGTCCTGCAGGCGACCAGCATGAAACTCCAGTAGGAAATGGTCCGGACAGCTGTGAGAAACAGCAGGCCGCTGGTGCTGGAGGTTCGCAAGCGAACGCAGAGCATGCCATGGTCCGATAACTTCGTGGTCCTGAGCTGCATGAAGCCATCATCATAGGAAGAAGCTAACGGCAGTTCTGTTTCCAACTGCTGCAAAATCAGTTCCAACAGCTCGGGGGACCAACGAACACATTTTTAGTCTGTGGAAGGACTTTAAAGTACCCGGAGAAAATCCACACATGTTGGATCTAAAAGATAAATGCAGTCCTTCAACAGTTGCCTTTTACTTTGTGCCAACTATTGTAAGTGATCAGTGCTAGTCTGAGGGGCAGTCATCTGTAAAAGTGACTGTACTTCCATATTCTGGTATGTGTTGTTGTGTAAAGACAGATGTTTTTGTCTAAGAAGAGTGAAAATGACAGAAAGAAATTCATTGTGTAGCCTCAGCAATGTACTGTGATGAGTTAAAGGAACAGTCCAGATCTTTTGATGAAAGAAATTCAGTTCAAGTGGTAACATCTGACCTCGTCTCCTTCATTGTTCAGGTATCTTAACACACAGTTCATCAAGAAGAACAAACTAACAGAAGCTGACCTGCAGTACGGCTACGGAGGAGTGGACATGAATGAGCCGCTCATGGAGATCGGAGAAGTACTTATTCTTTAATGAAACCATTTTATTCACATTTCTAAAATGCTATACCCCTAGTAGCCGCAAATATAAAAATCATATTTACAAACTCAGTTGACCATCATTCGTGCTTCTGGTCTAGTTTTGATCCCATCAGAAAAACCAAGGTTTGGTTGACGCTGTGGTAACGTGTTGTTTTTGACTTGTGGCTGCAGCTGGCGTTGGATATGTGGAGAAAGCTGATGATTGAACCCCTTCAGGCTGTTCTCATCCGAATGTTGCTGAATGAAATAAAAAAGTAAGATTTCTCACACACACAACTAGAAAAAAATAACTTAATAATTTTAATAATATTTTCATCGTCTTGTACTCTCAATGAGAATAAAATATTCTGATGCATGCTCAATAATCCAGGTAGAAAAATCTAAAAAAGTTACATCTGGTCCTCTGGACATTCAACAAAAAAAAAAAAGTAGAAAAGTTTTGTCTCTCATCCGAAAGACTTCCTCAGTCTGAGGTGCTGTTTTCAGCTCAGTCTCTTAAATAGCACCTTCTCAGAGTGGATCAACCAGTTTTGCTGCTGACAACCAAAACCAGCTGCTCACATGGTCAAGAAGGACCATCAGCCTAACAATGGATCATTAGCACACTGATGGCTGTTTACTATTCACAGAGGGCTGAGTGATACTAGCAATAACAGCATTGTAAGAGGGGGACAGTTGAAACCGGAGGCCTCCACCCCTGTTTAATGATGGACGGTTTCTTTTCACAAAGATGGCCTCCTTTACTCCTCTCTCAAACCATCGTTCCTCTCTATCCAGGATGTGAACATCTTCATCCCTGAAAGAGTGACCGCTGGCCTGGAGATGAGTGTAGACCGCAGAGTCCTGGCCTGATGATGTTGATCTTCTGTGCTGGTCCATCCTTTTGGCCAGTGGCTGTTTAGTTTCCCCGATGTAAGACTGATCACAGCCCTCCTGACACTGAACAGCATACACAACATTGCTCTGTTTATGCCGGGGGACTGGATCTTTGGGATGAACCAGTCTTTGCCATAATGTATTTTGGGGTTTAAAAGCCACTGGGACGTTATGTTTAGAAAATAAACGTCTCAGTTTCTCTAATACTCCCTCAACATATGGAATGACCACTGGTCTGGTCTGGGTTTCATCTGATGGCTGACTGGAGTTCTGTTTGGGTTTCTTCTCTGCTTTCAGGAAGGCCCAGTTAGGATATCCACATTGCTCTAGAGCCTGTCTTGGTGTGGGATTTCTCCTTCTGCCTGGCTCCTGAGTTAGTGGGGAAACTGGTTGATCCACTGCAAGAAGGTGCTATTTATAAGACTGAGCTGAATACAGCAACTCAGACTGAGGAAGTCTTTCGGATGAAAGATGAAACGTTTCTACAATTTTTTTGTTTTGTTTTTGAATGTCCAGAGGACCAGATTTGACTTTTTTAGAATGAGAATAAAACTTTTAACAAACCTTTTATTGACACATTTGTTTTGGGTGAAATAAATGTTCCAACTCTTGTCTCCAACAACTATGGTGCTTTTAGTGTGAGTATAATGTTAATCATAATAATAACTAGAGGAATTGCATTACCTGCCAAAATGCAGTGTGAATGCATATTGCAGAAGAACTTGTTGAAAAACAGCTTAAATTAGCTACAAACATGCTGAAATTGAAGACTATGCATCTTTGGCAGAAGAAAGCAGAAATAACACATTTTTGCTGATTTGGGTTTAAATAAACAGAAGTGAGAACAAAAATTAGTAAATTAGCTTTAAAAAAGGAAGCTAAAATTAGCACAAAAAAGAAAGCTAAAACGGTTGTAAAGGCAGAAAGAAGCTTAAGCTACTAGAAGGAAGTGAAAAGACGTGAAAGAAACTCCAAAAATGTGAAATTAGCTGGAAATGATACAATTAGCATAAAAACAGGTAAATAGTAACTGAAATAGTAAAAAAGCTGAAACTAGCAAAAATAAGCTTTAAAAAGCATAACAAGCTGAAATTAGCAGAAAGAAGTTAGAAGAAGCACAAAAATGTAGTTAGCAGAAAGAATCTGAAAGGAGCACAAAACAACTGAAAAGCAGCTGAAATTGTTTGAAAGTAGCTGAAAAAAGTTTAAATTTGCAGAAGGAAGCTGAAAGCAGTTGAAGCAGAACAAAATGTGAAAGGAGCAATAAAAGGTTGTAAACAGATCTAAAGATTTGAAAGATGTAAAATGAGTTAAGTTACTTTTCTTTGAGGAAAAAATGGCAGAAAAGGCTAAATATTTCAAAAAGCTAAATTTGCACCAATACCAAAAGTCATGGATTGTCCTGAAAGAGCTGAACATTTTGATTTATGATTTGTTGAAACAGCACAGAAATTGTGGAATGAGAACAATGCTGAAAAACAGAGAAGAAAAGAGGTTCACAATAGAGTGAATGCTTCAGAAGTATTCACTCTATAAGACAAAACCAACAGCAAGGCTGGTCATATTTACAGGAGTTGAACCTGAACCTCATCATTAACATCTTCTCATGACATCACCTGTCAGGAGGCCTATATTGATGGGAGCACTGAACCTGTTCTGTTTTGCAGTGATCGGTGCGGTGAGAACCCCAACCAGAAGGTGATCCATGGGGTCATCAACTCATTTGTTCATGTTGAACAGTACAAGAAGAAGTTTCCACTAAAGGTGTGAAAACAATGACCACATCATTCTGTTCACACAACCAAACAGACTTTCTCAGAACTGTGTTCCATTTTTTCTCTATTTTGCAGTTTTATCAAGAAATCTTTGAAGGGCCTTTTCTGATAAAAACAGGAGAGTATTACAAACAGGAAGCCTCCAATCTTCTGCAGGAGTCTAACTGCTCACAGTATATGGAGAAGGTAAGAGAGAGTGATAAAATGGTTCAGTCAGTCTGGTGATGTGAGTGCTTTAGCTCAATCATGAAGCTAATAGTGGCAATAACAAACGGTCCTGGCTTACTGTTGCCTTCATTGTCTTTTAGTTTCGTTGTCTTTCCTATTCGTTCACTCACTGAAGCGTGGTTCATACTTCAACAAGATGTCTCTCATTTCGTAGTTTCAGATGTCTTTGTCTCACAGAACATTCAGAGTCGAGGAGAAGACTGATAAATCATCATAATTCATCCCACAGCACTTCCACTGTAGCACACATCATGCACAGTTAAGCATATAAACACCAGCTGTGATAGCAGGGTCCTAGGTAGAGGTTCAGTTTAGTTTCAGTTCAGTTTATTTATATAGCGCCAATTCACAACAGACGTCATCTCACGGCACTGAACAGAAACATTCACATACAGAAAAAGTCAATTAATAAAAATTCTCTCTCTAAGCCAGAGGTTCTCAAAATTTTGGGGTTCAGGGACCCCTTACAGGGAAGAAAAAGTTTCAAGGACCCTCTCATAACCCTCATGTTTATTAAATAATTGTCTTCAATTTGGCTCTTTAATGCAATGAAAATATTTGTGTAGCATTAATACTAAAAACTTGTTCTTTAAAGTCAAAGTTTATTTATTGTCATTCTCATCACATGTGGAATAACATTGTGTACACAGGGTCCCAGTTACATCCAACAAAAGTATAAATTGTAAAAGAAAAACAGTAATAAGATCTAAAATATGAACTAAGAAATATGCTAAACTAAGAATACACTAAACACTAATAGTACAACAACAATATGCTGAACAACAGCAGCACAAACATGAGTCTGTGTGAGCAGTTGAGCTCGAATGAACACAGCAGCATGGATAGTCTGCAGCACATATCAACAATCAAGTGGCATTACTGTGATTTTTTTTTTTTCCACAGTGATTATTCTGGTTAGAGATTCATGAGTCTTAACAGCTTCAAGGTAGAAGCTGTTCCTAAGTCTAGTGGTTCTACACTTAATGCTCCTCAACCTCCTGCCTGAGGGGAGCAGGGCAAAAAGTGTGCGCGCTGGGTGAGTGGGGTCCTTCATGATGCAGGTGGCCCTCTTCCTGCATCTGGAGGTGTAGACGTCTGTGATGGTGGGGAGGCTGACTCCAACAGACTTCTGTGCAGCCTTCACCACTCTCTGCAAAGCTTTTCTTTCTGCAGCTGTGCAGCCTCCGTGCCACACGTTGATGCTGGAGCACAGGGTGCTCTCCACTGCACACCTGTAGAAGGAGGTGAGGACTGAGCTTCCCAGACCAGCTCTTCTCAGTCGCCTGAGGAAGTAGAGTCTCTGATGAGCTTTCTTGATCAGGCTGGTGGTGTTGTTGCCCCAGCTGAGGTTGTCATTCAGGTGTACACCCAAGTACTTGTAGCTGGAGACCTCTTCCACTGCAGATCCTCCTATATTTTGGGGCGGGGTGTAGGTGTGTTTGTTCTGTCTGAAATCCACAACCATCTCCTTCGTCTTCTTCACATTGAAGTGAAGGTTGTTCTTCCTACACCAGCTCTCCAGGTGTTCCACCTCATGCCTGTAGCTGGACTCATCGTTGTTTGTGATAAATCACACCACCACTTTAATAGTGGTAATACAATTGTTATACTTTTAAACGTTTTTTCATTCAAGACACACTTAAATAACAAACTTTTTAATTTCATCTTCCAAAATTACAGTTTTTCAGAAAATTAACAGCATCAAAACCACTTTCAAACTTTACCTATTCACACAATCAACATAAATGTATCGCCACATCTTCAAATTATCACAGAAAACTCTTTACAAAAAACTGAACAGATTCATAATAGCAGTAGTCATACCAAGGAACAGGGCTTCATTTGTAAACTAATCGATGCCGGAACACAAATAGTGGAGTGTGGGGTAGGGGTTGAACGACTACATCATTTTAAAACTCGACATTAACATAATAAAACTCGATTAGAACTCAAGTAGTTGATGACGTCATAGGATCTCAAGATGAAAAAAACGTCATTTATTTACAAAAAAAAACATTGGGAGCATATATTATGCTCCTACCATGTATCATACTGCAAATAAGTCACAGAAAAACCAAAACTATTAGTTATTATTATTAAGCTGCAAAAGTGAAGAAACATGCAGCACGTCAAAACGAAACTAAAAACAATGGGGCGGACTACCACACCGCACCACCGTCAGCTGTGGTGCGCATTAGGTTTAGAGATAAATATGTTTGTAGGATTTTTTTTAATAGGTTTAGAGATTCATATTTTTTGCTTTTACTTTGTGAAACAAGGTCAGAAGGAAGCTGGTTCTGGTTCGATGTATTGGACCCGGTGTTTCACCATATTCTGTGACTTGCAACAGTGCATGCAACATCGCCCCCTACGGTCACAGAAAATGATAAAACACTGGTTTTCAACGAGCTCAAAACAGTCATGAAGTTGATTCATTTTCAGTTTCCTTACGGTAGTTGAACCGGAAGATTCATCTTTAGTGAAATATTTCCACACTACTGATGCATTTCTACCTGTTTGCCAAGACTGAACCTGCTCCACTCAGTCCATCTGCTGGAGGAATCCATTTGGTGGCTTCTACTAGTAGCCCGGTGTGGATCACTTGACACGTGATGCAATGACGTCACTGCGAATACTCTACGTAAAATTTAAAAAATTTGATAGATGTTCTAGGAATCGACCTGTCGATTACTCGAGTAGTCTGTTTAAGCTCTAATGTGGGGTAGTGGTACATGTCCTCCCCCAAAAAAATTTGAATAAAGTAGATGTGATTTCCTGCATTTTGGTG